ACTGCTCCACCTACTGAAATACCTTATGTATCAGATTCAGAGATTTCTCCGCTAGCAGACAGAGATGAAACTGCAAGTGTTAATGTGACTGAAGGGGTGTCGGAGATTGGGGAGAGGGACACGGCGCAGCCCGGTCCGAGTGAAGTGAACTTCACGAACAGAGACTGATGCAGATCATGAGATGTTTTCTGATATGCACAAAAAGGAAATGAACAAGATACTTTCTGTAGTGGAAGACCTGAAAAACCAAATGTATGGGTACGAAGAGGCGGAAGAATCGCCGAGTGCCCATGATTCTATTTATAGCTCGCTGGACACAGATCAGCATGAGAGCGATGTACTAGCATTAGGCGATGTCGCAGTTGTCTCCCTTCCACTTTCCAATATGGCAGCGGCCACAGTTGATGGAAATTCTCTGTTATCGAAGCTGGCTTCATCTTAAAAGCCTGTTGATCTTATCGGGGAGTCGGTTCAAAAGGAGATGGCGGATCTTGTCAATGACATGATGTGTACTAAATTGGAAGAAAAACAAAAACTGGCAATTTTCTATAAACATTTACGCCCGGAAAACTGTGACAAACTAATGGCCCCTCGAGTCAATTCAGAAATATGGCGCATTATGGAGCCAGAAACACGGAATACGGACATTTCCTTCCAAAAATCACAAAACCTTTTGTGCAAGGGGATTATTCCCATTGTGAAAATAGTCGACTCACTCACTAAAGAACCAGCCTCAAATCTAGATATGGAGAAGATAGTGTCTCAATTGATGGATGGACTAGCCCTCTTTTCACTGGCCAATTATGACATAAGTTTAAGACAGAGAGACTCTATCAGAGGTGAATTGCAACCCGAGTACAAGGCCTTATGCACTATTCAAACACCAGTAGCAGGCTAGCTTTTTGGCGACAACTTCTCAAAGAAGATCAAAGAACTCTCAGATACCACTAGGATGGGCCTCAAGATGACTTCTTCTTTGTTTCAACGAGGCAATTACATTTTCTCAGGTATTGTTGCTTTGAGCAGTGATACATTGTCGCTGAGGTATTGTTTAACATCTCAGTTTGGTACACTGGTCATGCTGAATGTGTTGATAGAGGCATATCTAAGAATACATAAATGGCCAAATAATTCAAATTATAATTATTCGCAGAGCACCAATATCCAGCTCAGCTGCCTTGGGGATCATACAACACTTTGCTGGGGTGCAAATTATGACTCAATTTTATTGTAGGTCTTATATTGTTAATTTGTCTTCAATATGTGTCCGAAGCATGTCGAATGCATTTATAGCTGAAAGGAAATAACAGTGTGTGTTTTTCACGTTGTTCAGAATATGCCCTAATAGCCTTCAATGACTTGAAAAAATGAATCCATTCAACTACAATAAATATATTTCACTGACAGGATCCATCTGTGAAAACATTGGGCACTCAAAGACAACAGGACTCATGTCCAAGATGACTGCAACTTTGCCCAATGAAACCCTTGGTATACAGAGTGTGAATAAATGATTTATAAACAAATCCCCAAATTATTTTCTCATCTTGATGAGATATGTCTTGTAATATTTGGGCGGTGCTCTACTTGTGGTAACCATTTCCCCTCCAACTTGAAGTTGTTTTCAGGAGAAAAACATTTAAAGAAAATCCATATCAAAATATCCAAAGATGGAACCTAATTTTTACTCAGTTAAGTTATTTCTGGTAGTTAAAATACATTTTGCCAGAAATTTCTGCAGAAAAGAAACATTCCGCCAGAAATTTCTGCAGGAAAAAATTTCCACCAGAAATTTCTGCAGAATTACATTTTCAGAACCAATTTGTGAGCTTATGAACATGTGCAACACACTTGCACATGAACGTTTTGGGTTCATCTCCTCGAGATCTTTCCAATGATATAAAATATGTCTGTAGCTAGCTTCCTTCTGTGTGTCAAGTTAGGACTTGCTGGCCATTCCCAAGTTGGCCCGCACGGCCTTGTATACAAACCATTGTAAGTCTGTATGCAACACCAGCTCTTAGTGAGTCTGTAACATCAGTCATGACCATGTAAGAGAGTCTGTATGCAACCCATTGTGAATCTGTATGTAACATCAGCCCTTAGTGAGTCTGTATGCAACCCATTGAGAGTCTGTATGCAACACCAGCTCTTAGTGAGTCTGTAACATCAGTCGTAAGAGAGTCTGTATGCAACCCATTGTGAATCTGTATGTAACATCAGCCCTTAGTGAGTCTGTATGCAACCCATTGAGAGTCTGTATGCAACACCAGCTCTTAGTGAGTCTGTATGCAACCCATTGAGAATCTGTATGCAACATCAGCCCTTAGTGAGTCTGTATGCAACCCATTGTGAATCTGTATGTAACATCAGCCCTTAGTGAGTCTGTATGCAACCCATTGAGAGTCTTTATGTAACATCAGCCCTTAGTGAGTCTGTATGCAACCCATTGAGGAGTCTGTAACAGGGCTCCAGTTAACTTTCAACATCAGAGTAACGTAATCCTTATTTTCAATACAGAAGTACTGGAAAACCTTAAGAGTACATTTAGAGTACTGAATGGAACTTAATGGAGTATCAGTAATCTTGTGTTTCATTTCATATATGCACCACAACATTGCTTCTTGTGTAAACAGGTCAATGAATAATAAAACAATACTTTTTCCGATAAATACGACTGTAAATGATTCTAAGACCGTACTCCATTGCTGTGGTGCATATCTGCTACGTTTTCCAAAATATTTCCAACCGTATCGTGCATATTTTTTATCCATACATACACCGATGCGGCCCTTATGTGGAGTCCTGCTGTAACATCAGCCCTTAGTGAGTCTGTATGTAACATCAGCCCTTAGTGAGTCTGTATGCAACCCATTGTGAGTTCTCAGTCTGTTATTTGTCATTCCAACATGGCACATTATAGATTGTTCACTGGTCACGAGGAGGACATGGGATGATGCTCCCTGAGCCTGAAGGGCAAGGGGAACATAAATAAACATTGAGGGTACATCAACCCATGGGCCCCGAGGAACCAGTGAATAACTTATTTATCTTACCAAACACCTCAGTGTTAATTTTGAACTGTTTGAAGCACAGGTATTGGATCATAATAAGAAGAAGAAGAAGGGTTTATTTTGTATAAAGGCCAAACGACCCATCGTACAAGGTGGTACAATAGTGGTTTTGGTTACCATTTTCATACAACAACGCTAACAGGAGCAGAATAAACATGTTCTAAGAATTTGACAAAATTATTTATGATGTTATTGTCGGATGATGTACATATGCTGCGGAGTGAATAATAATATCCATGGACCGATTTCGGAATGTAACGCCGACGCCTTATCCTCATAGCGTTTACAAACATAGACAATATGGATTTCATCCTCAATACTTTCACAGTGTTTACATAATACAATATCATCATTGCAGGAGGCAGTACCTCTTCTAATATATTTGATACCTAGTGCATTACACCTGATCTAAATAATGTGAACAGACTTGCACTTATTACTTATATTCAATGATAAATATTTTCACAGGTCAACAGAGATTTATGGGACTTTATAGAAGGACAGCCCGAAGGAACATCTAGGGACAAATGCCACTCTTGCATAGAGCAGTTGTTAATTCTTTCAGTAAACATATATAGAAACATTTTTGTATCACCGACATCTTGTGAAATCCAAGCTGTACCAAAGCCAAGGTAAAATAACAAATCACTGACATGTCCGAGGCCCATGTGGGGCGTTTCCTGAATTCAACAGATAATAAAAATTATAACATTGATATGGATATCTACTTTGATGCATTCTCAATAATCTTAGCCAGTATTTAATACATTTGACATAACACACATTGCTTAAGGGTGCCCTCCACATTCTCCATATGCAACAGCATTAGATGATCTTGTAACTAATCTGGAGTAAAAATTTGCAAAATTTTAGATGGACAATTTCAATACTTTCTCTCTTTTAAAACCCTATATCTCAGCACCATATGTTAGAATTGGTACAATTTTTTTTTATCAAAATATAAAATCCTTCTGAGAGTGACATATCGTATCGTCTTATAAATGACTTGATCGCCACAGTGCCTTATTAGGCTTGATCAGATAATGTTTTACATGCCCTAGTCCAAATCATTTGGGAGTTATCATAAGTCCTAGATATTTATAAACATTGACAGTTTCCATTCGAATGCCATTATAGAACCATTTTTCGGTGTTTGGACAAGGGTCCACCCATTTTAAAACAATTATTTTACTTTTATCCGTGATAATATCCATGCCCCATTTATGGGAATACATATGTAGGGCGTCAAGGCGGCGCTGTAGTCTAACAACAGTATCAGCTATCAAAACCAAATCATCTGCAAATAACAGAGCTATAATATTCAACATATGTTCGGAGATAAATATACCGTCATCAAACTTATTTTCTAAGGTCGATACGAGCTCATTAATATATAAAGAAAATAATACCGGACGGATCATAATAAGCAGTACCAGAGTTAGGCAATTAGCCAATACAGATGAAAAACCAATTATCTCCCTCCATTGATTTGCATTTGCAAAACATCTGTACATCAAATGTGGCTCAATTATTCGAAATGAAGAACTACTAACATGAAGTATCTAATGAATTCCCACAGTTTGGCATTCCCAGAGGGTAACACAGAAAATGTTACTCACCTGTAAAGCAGGCTACATTGAAAATAATAGAAGAGCCCTCAGCCAATCAGAAAACGACATTTATGTGTGAGGTAAGATAAACATCTATATTTTGGTTATGATGATAACAAGTGTCCATCCATGACAACTGGCACTGTGCAGAATAAAACAAAACAGGTTTCCACAATACCAAGCTTGTTGCTGATTGCCAACCTCATGGTTCACAGCTCATTTGGCAGTCAATGGCTCATTCCCCAGTTTGTTGTAATGTCATAACTGCATCTTCTCATTTCATCTCCAGAAACCAGGAATGGGTCCATTGCTTCCAAGCAAGCACACATACTGTTCATTGAATCACTTCTCAAAATGTACAAGAAGTGTCCAGGTATCACAAACAGCAAATGTTTTCATAACATCTTTTCAATAGCTCTGAGCTCTTCTTTGCTGAGAGGATTCAGCCCAAAACCTTTCATGTCCTCTTTATTTTCCAAGTTCCGCAGATTATTGACTTTAGGTTTCAACTTTTTCCTGATATCAGTCAGTTCTTCATCAAGTTGATTATAATCTAAAAAAGGAGCAAAATAGTTCAGCTGTTGCTACATGGAACACTGCATATACCAGTATAAAAATGTTGCTCAACGAAACATTTAAAGTTGTTGCTTAATGGAACACCCTACATTTAGAGTTGTTGCTCAACAGAACACCCTACATTTAAAGTTGTTGCTCCAAGGAACACCCTACATTTAAAGTTGTTGCTTAATGGAACACCCTACATTTAAAGTTGTTGCTCAACAGAACACCCTACATTTAAAGTTGTTGCTCCAAGGAACACCCTACATTTAAAGTTGTTGCTTAATGGAACACCCTACATTTAAAGTTGTTGCTGAACAGAACACCCTACATTTAAAGTTGTTGCTCAACAGAACACCCTACATTTAAAGTTGTTGCTCAACAGAACACCCTACATTTAAAGTTGTTGCTCAACAGTTGTTGCCTACAAAGTTGTTGCTCAACACCACCCTACATTTAAAGTTGTTGCTCAAGGAACACCCTACATTTAAAGTTGTTGTCAACAGAACACCCTACATTTAAAGTTGCTGTTTCTTAATCAGAACACCCTACACATAATATGGCTGTTTCTACATCAGACATGCACACCCTACACATAATAGGGTTGTATCTACATCAGACATGCACACCCTACACATAATATGGCTGTATCTACATCAGACATGCACACCCTACACATAATATGGCTGTATCTACATCAGACATTCACACCCTACACATAATATGGCTGTATCTACATCAGACATGCACACCTACACATAATATGGCTGTATCTACATCAGACATGCACACCCTACACATAATATGGCTGTATCTACATCAGACATTCACACCCTACACATAATATAGCTGCTTCTACATCAGACATTCACACCCTACACATAATATGGCTGTATCTACATCAGACATGCACACCCTACACATAATATGGCTGTATCTACATCAGACATGCACACCCTACACATAATATGGCTGTATCTACATCAGACATTCAGGCAGCTAAGCTGGGAACAGTACCATACATATATTGGGCATATAAGGGTGTTTATAAATTATGTAAACAAATTTATAATATTCAGGTCACTGTTGAAGTAACTTCATTATATTTCCCACATTTATCCCTAAAACAGACATACTCTACCAATATCATGCAACAGAACATTGTTCATGATCATGTGCCTGTTTCTGAGATTAGGGGTGAACATCCAAAATACACTTATCAATGTCCTCCGATGAAGACATGGAACATGTAAGAACTCCTGAGTATGCAATACACAAACTGTTAGAGGTGAGGTGAAATTGGGTTTAACGTCGTGCTTGAGAATATTTCGCTCATATGACGACGTGCATGCGGGTGTATGTGTATGTGCGGCTGAGTGTACTAGCCCAGACTTAAGCTGGTTTTATAGTGCTAGCCCACTGAGATACCATGCCGCAGTGAAGCATGAATACCCCACGCAGACACATTATACTGACTCCGAGCCGACCAGTCCTTGTTGTACCCATTAATGCCTAGCGCCAGGCAGGGACCAACAAGTACCATATTTTAACGTCTTTTGGTATGACGCGGTCGGGGATCCAACCCGTGACCTTCCGCTCTCCGGGCGGACGCTCTAACCACTACACCACGGAGGCGGTACAAACTGTCAGAAGGCTCTGGTTCTTTGTAGTTCCATATCCTCACCTTTTTCAAGAAGGTTTGCAGCTTTCTTGTTTGGCATTTTGATGAACATGTTTCCAAAGCACACCCATGACTTTTCACTCGTTGTTGTCTTCTGTAGGGCTCTGAAATGAAACAAATTACAGTTGTAGAATTACATACCAAACTTTTTCATGGATAATCATGATAATAGCTCATTTAGTCTCTGAAATATTTCTGGACTACATACTGTCTCTATATCTGTTCAAGCACTGACTTGGCAATCAGTTCCCCCTCAAGTTGTACTGAAGTCCCTCAAAAACAGGGCTGATTTTTGCTAGCTCAAGTTTTATAGAAATCGGTTATATATGATTACAAATTACACAGGGACAAGTCTCAGTTTTGCACATTGCTCAACAAGTCCTGATAGTGAACCAGAAGCAACCTCAATCTTGGTTTCTGCTTCACAGATCCAGGCACACCAGAGGGATGTGACCACAGTCCTTTAGATGACTGATCCAGATTCCTCAGATGTTAGAAAAGTAACATTCTCTTGAGAAAAAACTCTGTGAAGTATTGAAAGAAATATATTTGGAACCTGATGGCCTCTCGTGTCTTGTTCCTCTTCTTATCCAGGTCAATTATTTGTCTCCGATCTGCCAATACATCCTCTGCAGCTTCCTCCACTAGTGCCACCTGGCTCAACAGATCCGAGGTATCCTCAACTGACATAATGTATCCACACGCTGATCCCCCAGCTCCTCTAGAGAGTGCAGATACTGTCAAACCTGCACTGTCTCCAGACAATCACCATACAAGAAGCTGGAAATTAATTTACAAATATATTTCTGCCATTATCTTAATAAATATGTTCCGCACCTAAGCCATTTACCAAATATTACATTATTGCATTACACATTTAAAAAACAAATAATAGTTTACACTAACAAAACAGTATTTACTCAAAGCAGCTATTTCAGTTTGCATATGCCCTTACTGGTCAAATCAAAGCATAGCTTATATATATACTGCTTGAATGATTAAACTGTCTGTTTCTCATGATCGGCAAGCCTGTCCCAAATACTGTTGTTTTAAAGCGCTCATTCAGGATTATGACTTTGGCAGGAGGCATGACAAGAATATACCTGAGGGCAGGATCAACTATACTCAATTGGTTGGTTTCACATTAATTTTCAACTCGCTGTGCACATGCGCAGAGCATGTGAAAAATATCCATTGACATGCTTCCGGTTTGGTTGTATGTTTATTGATAGTGTAAATGCACTCCAAATAAAAGCTGTTATGAAAATTATTTACGTTGTGACAACTGTTCATAGCTGAGTACACACTTCCATTTGCCTCTGCTTTTCGATAATTGATGTCCTAGTTTGATTGCAATTCCATCAGAGATGTGTTTGTTTAGTTGTGAGAAGGCTGTGTGCAGGAAGGACGGTGGTGGTGAGATGTCCTTATACAAGAGCTTGTTAACATAACTTAAGCTATTTATTTAACTGATCCCAGCCTCTGTTTCAGAAATCAATTGGGATCAGTTGTATTCGACATAAAACTATATATTTGTTTTGATTTCTTCGGAGAGTTTACACTATCAATAAACATACGACCAAACCGGAATCATGTCAGTTGATATTTTTCACACGCTCTGCACATGCGCATAGGGAGTTGAAAAGTAATCTGAAACCAACGAATACACTTAAATGACAATACACTTAAACAGTAAAACCAACGTATTTACTTATTCAAATGTTTTGATATGAACAATAAGAAAACAGAACATTTCTTAAAGTTTAAAAAGTGATTATTGCTTGATTAGGTTTTGTGGAGGGGGTATTTGGTGGGGTTTTGCTTTTTGCAACAAAGTTTAATTATGCCCAAGGATACCCAGATAGCATTCGGACGTTGGCCAAACGTTGGCAATGTTGGCAAAACCATTGCCAACGTTGGGCCAACGTCTGAATGCTATCAGGGTAGTGGCTCGGTTTTTAAAAAATATTAATATCTCGTAGAGGATACGACAGTTTCGACACTGATTACTCCTTCCCGTTTGCAATTTAAATTTTAACAATAGCAAAGCATGTAAACACAGCGTCTAGCATGTGATGCAACAACATTTTGAATTTTTGCATCCATACAACGGTACACTGGCGCATGTCTTGTTTTGATGAGCGAAAACTGGTGACACCAAGGTGTTTTCGTTCCATGCCTACTGGCTGCCTAGATAGAAGCTATCTCTTTAAAATTTCAAAACAGTCATTTATGTCCAAACCTTATATCGTACAGCTGATCGGTCTGAACAGACAGTTTCACAATACCATTTAGAACAACACCCAACAGTTTTCAGGCCGCATACCTCTTCAGGCGGGAACCTGTACCGGAAGTGGAACGTGTTGGTGTGGGTGCTCTCCCTTTTATGTTTCACCACAACAACACGTGAAAAGATTCAATATTGGTAAGCAAGTAATCAGAGGCGTAGAACGAATTATAACAATGTATCATTGTTTAATTATTGTGAAATAATGATTGTACGTAAAATACGACCCAAAAAACAATATTTCGAAAATAATTGATGCTGATAAATAGAAGAGTTGGGCGTCTATGAATATACAGTCATCGGACATAAGTATTCGTCAGTCGGCGAAATTCTTGCTTGTTATTTTAGTGTAGCTGTAATAATTTTCATTAGTTCATTTTGGTAAGAGTTCCGCCCGTAACCCCCGCTTAAAATGTATTCTATTTATTATGATTATTTCTAGGGGTTAGGTGTGTGTGTGTGGTGGGGTAGCCTAGTGGTTAAAGCGTTCGCTCGTCACGCCGAAGACCCGGGTTCGATTCCCCACATGGGTACAATGTGTGAAGCCCATTTCTGGTGTGCCCCGCCGTGATATTGCTGGAATATTGCTAAAACCAGCGTAAAACCAAAACTCACTCACTCACTCTAGGGGTTAGGGTTTAGATTGAGCATCAGGTTAGTTCTAGGGTTACAGTAGGCTTTCTGTGAAAAACATCTATTCTTACTATGAATCTTAGGCATAGAATGATAAAAAGCGGGGTTACTGATGGAAATCTGTCCATAAGACTAAGAGTTCCACCGTTAACCCCTGCTTGAAATGTATTCTATTTATTAGGATTATCTCTAGGGTTTAGGTTTAGGGTTTATATTTAGCATTTTGTTAGGTTTAGGGTTAGGGTAGGCTTTCTATTTAAAAAAATATCTATTTTTAGGCATAGAATGATAAAAGAAAATGGGGTTACGGGTGGAAATCTTTCCACATGTTCAAGATTTTTTACATCTAACAGTAGAGATATTGCTTCTCATTGTTTTCCACACTAACAGACGGCTATGGAACCACAGATATTTCATAGAAATGCTTTCTACAACCTACAAAACAAGATTTAAAACCAGAAACAATAGTCTAGTCTTCCAGATTCCCACCAGTCTGTTAGCCTTGTCTTAATCTTACATCAGTAAAAGGTTGTAGACAAGTGTTTTGGGGTTCTTTTTAAAGTTTCTTCATGTAGTAAAATGCTAAACATAAAAATATGTCCAAATTAACCATAATCATAATATTGGGGCTATAGGAAAGCTACTCCAACCTCCAAGTATTGTATTATAGTGTCATAGACAATAGTGGTTTCGGTTTACATTCTTCAGTATCGATTATATTTGATTTCAGAACACAAAGATGCAGAGCCAAACCTTTGAACTTCAGGATGAACAGGATGAGGCAGATGAACAGGATTTGGATGAATTTGAAATTGAATGTATGCTGTACAGTCAGCTGCATTACGAACAGGCAAACAATATACACATCTCTGAAGATGACCATACCCAGACCCAGTTGATGGATTTAAAAGATGTTACTTCAAATGGTTTAGATGTAAACATTGAAACAGTTCATAAGAATGATACCTTGCCTGACAAGCCAGCAAAAACTGGTTCCTCGACACCTGTGTCGAACATCCTTGGTTTGCCTGCAGGTGCTATTCAACACATGATCTACAGAAACAAGCATGAGGGGTCAAGCAGCGACAGTTTAGCTGATAAAAGTAAATCTAGGAAAAGAAAATTGAATTCTGTCTCCCAAATTCATGACTCTGATGACACAGTGTTTAACCATGGGAAGTCAGTTAAAAGGGAGAAGACAAAAGGGAATACAGATGCCATGGAGAAGACTATTGTAATCAGTAGTGACTGTTCAATTAGTGACCATGGTAACAGATCTAAATCATACAAGAACTCTTCCCATGATCCTATTTTAATACATTCTGACAGTAGTGTTGATGATACACAGATGAGGTCATATTATGGAGAAAAGGTTGTTGTTGAAATGGATAGTGTTCTTGAACCAAACACTAGCATTATCAGTTTGAGTTCGTCAGAGAGTGACAGCTGGGATGATCTGACTGCAAGTGACACCAACTCCAGCACTGATGTACCACATATACAGGTCAACTTTAGACAAGGAAGCCTTACTCAGAGGTTCAAGGATGGTAAGAAGTTACATAGCTGTGGTGTTATGCCACAGACAGCAGTGTTACAGAGATGCCATCAGTCCACAATTTAACGGAATCCTCCCGAAAAATGCATGTCCATTCCGACAAAGTCAAAGTCATTCCGATTTTCTTCAAAATATAACAAAGATATAGATAGAGGGCCAGGATAATCTTTGACTATAAATAATGATAATTAAAGAAATAGAACACTTTATTTACAGGAGTTCCCAAATTGTTTACACAGGAAAGCAATCCGGAAGTTGAGTAGGCTGCCTGATAAATTCCATGCACGGTTTATTTTGTTTACTTAACATTCACAAACACTGCTGCCGAGTACTGCAAACCGGTTTCAGTTGTATAAGGGTCTCTATGTGTAATGGCATTGAAAAGTTTTGTTCCTTGAGTGCAACAATTTATAGGAATCTCTAATTTGTTGGGAAAATTCCTATTTATTTTCTATCTTATAATTCTTAGGGAGCTCAGATTCCTAACTGCACCAATTTGGGGTTGGCATCTCTGGTGTTACAGATACATTATTAGCAGCCTGTGAATAGTTGAGTCTACATCTGCTAGCCTAAACAGTAATAGCATATAGCAGTATGGCCTGTTATGATCTGGTGAACTACTCTGCCTGTTATGATCTGGTGAACTACTCGGCCTGTTATGACATGGTGAACTACCTCATCGGCTGAGTTCGTTAGATCTCTGACTTTGTGTGCTGGCTCTGACTACTACATTATGTACTTAACTGAGAAAGTGTCATCCCAAATATAACATATGATGCATTTGACCACTTCCTACAAGGCAATGTGTATTCTTTAGTATAACTTGTTCTACAGTGTGTGGTGTCAATAGACTAGTGGTATTCAACTGTTTGACAAGACACAGAGCTCTGATTATGCAAGATAACTAGTAGAAGGGTTTTCCCTGGCGCTAGAATGTGATTGTCATCAGGAGTGAATAACTAAGATAATACTTGGTAATCATGACTATCTTTCACAAGTTAATCTTTTGTAATTTGTATTATTACCTCTAATGTGTGTGAAGCATGTTAAGAGTAAATACTCTTGGCACAAGGCTACATATGTTAAAATTGAAGCAGCATCCAGAGTCAGTGTGCGAAATAGTTTCCAAATATTCCTAGCCAGTCAGGCTACCCATACCTGAAAGTTACTAGCCCAGAAAATAATTCACTAGCCCGAAATTTGAATGTAGAAACTAAGCAATTTATTTCAAAAATAGATGAGAATATGGTATTGTCAGCATGACATGTTACTAATATGATGAAAGTTGTTATAAGGCCACAATCTTGCATGATTTAAAAGTGTATTATAAGTCGGAGAGAGTGATATATTTACAAAATGACCCCATGAAAATTCACTAGCCAGTTACTGTGGAGATTTACTGGTCCAACTGGATTTTTACTATCCACGGGCTAGCGGGCCAGTGGCTATTTTGCACACTGTCCACAGGATTGCATTAAGATGAGGAAATAAAATGCTGATCAACTCTGAATATGGACATGAAGTAACAATGACTTTGAGCAATGTGAAGCATGAATGCGATTAATGCTATGGTTATTTCAGGGGAAGGACATGATCCAGACAAGTGGAAAATCAACCAGCAAGATCGCCTGGGTAATGTTGCGGGCATGTCAAGAGGTCAAGGGTCATCATGTGGGAGATTCGGTGGTGCAGGGCTGGGGGCAGGTACTACCGGCCATCGTCTGTCAAATGCTTGAATTGTAATGAAGTTGGCCATCTGTCTAAAGACTGTCCAAGACCAAAGGTGGGATACGATTGTTACATGTCTAAAACAATTAATGTTCCATACTTATCTGAAATAACAGTAATATGCTCTCACAATTTGTCATGGCATAAAAATTTATGTTGGAAAGAGTTATTAGGCAAACAAAATTTATTAATTAATGTCAAGTGTAGCAAGTAATTCATTTTATCAAATACAGATTAATCTAATCCCGCTGGAATGGCACTTCTCCCTATAACATTGATTATTGATACAGGTAAAAACTTTGACTTCTCTGGAACTCAAAGTCCTACCCATCTGATACATGACATAAACGATCACAATTATAGTGTCTGTAATAACTGGTCACAGAAGTTTTAGCTAACTTACAACATGGCTACCATGGATGCCATATTGAAAAGGCCTTTTCCCAAATTCATCCACTTCTGCATGCATTGTAATGAAATTTTAGTACACCATAATCATGATAATGTGATATGAGGAATATCAGAATATATAATTTTAATGTGATTTTGTGAGTATTGTTTTTGATAATATTGACTTTTGAACTACCAACAACCTTTGGCCTGTACATACCCATGTTTTTCAAGTGTTTCTTCATACAACATGTGATTTTTCACTTTATTTCAGAAGTCCCAGATCTGTATATTTTGTGGTTACACGGGACACTTCTACCGCAACTGTCCTCAGTCCCTGTGTTACAACTGTAACCAGCCAGGTCACACCGCCAGGCTGTGCGAGGCCCCAAGGCAGAAGCGGCATTGGACATGTTTCCGCTGTGATATGTTGGGCCACTCTCACGAGGTACGACACTCAACTACAACACATGGTGTACATTATCATCACGTTTGGATTATGTATCACTAATGTTGTAATACATCATCTTAAGCATGGGTATGGACAAGCTGATACTGTGATATTGAGCATATATTTTGGTGAGGGTGTATTTTCATTTTTGTCAGAAGGTACTGAGCAAATGAACAAAATGTGTTATTGGTATTTATGATGAACTATATTTTTTGTAGAATTGCACTGACCACTGGAGGCAGTTTCACTTGACGGTAATTATGATCACAAGTAATACAAGTGTTTATCACTGATATAGCAATGTCCGCCACCGCTAAAGAATGGAACATTTATATTTACTATATTTTATTTTTTGGTCACATACAAGATGCCTGAAATGACTGGTGTCTGCATAATCACCCAATGTAGGCTGTCAACATAATTGAAAACATTGGGTGCAATGTTTTATGAGATATCGTGTTTAAATAAGTTTGAAAAGTGGTCGGTGTCATTGTGACCTTGAAGATAAGGTCCAGGTCACCCAAATAAACTGGTGTCTGCGTAATCCCCCAATGTAGGCTGTCACCAAATTTGAAGACATTGGGTATAACAGTCCATGAGATATCGCGTTAACAAGCGTTTGAAAAGTGTTAAAAGTGTCGTAGTGACCTTGAAGATAAGGTCAAGGTCACCCAAATCAACTGGTCTGTGTAATCTCCCATTGTAGGCTGTCACCAAATTTGAAGACATTGTGCACAACAGTCCATGAGATATTGCGTTAACAAGAGTTTGAAAAGTGTTAAAAGTGTCGTGGTGACCTTGAAGATAAGGTCAAGGCCAACCAAATCAACTGGTCTGCATAATCCCCCATTGTAGGCTGTCACCAAATTTGAAGATATTGGGTACAACAGTCCATGAGATATCGCGTTAACAAGAGGTGGAAAAGTGTTAAAAGTGTCGTGGTGACCTTGAAGATAAGGTCAAGGCCACCCAAATCAACTGGTGTCTGTGTAATCTCCCAATGTGGGCTGTCACCAAATTTGAAGACATTGGTTACAACATTCCATGAGATATCACGTTATCAACAGCTTGAAAAGTGTTAAAAGTGTCGTGGTGACCTTGAAGATAAGGTCAAGGCCACCCAAATCGACTGGTGTCTGGGTAATCCCCCAATGTAGGCTGTCACCAAATTTGAAGACATTGGGTACAACAGTCCATGAGATATCGTGTTAACAAGAGTTTGAAAAGTGCTAAAGGTGTCGTGGTGACCTTGTAGATAAGGTCAAGGCCACCCAAATCAACTGGCCTGCGTAATCTCCCATTGTAGGCTGTCACCAAATTTGAAGACATTGGGTACAACAGTCCATGAGATATCGCGTTAACAAGAGTTTGAAAAGTGTTAAAAGTGTCGTGGTGACCTTGAAGATAAGGTCAAGGCCACCCAAATCAACTGGTGTCTATTTTTAATGCCTATTTACCAATACTTACCTCTTCCATGATCAATTACCTGGAAATATGTATCATTTACTTCATTGAGAGTGAACTGTGAATAAGGATTCGTGATAGAAAATGAAAACTAGTCATTCTTGAAATTGTGGCAATAGAGATGAACATCCAACTGTAATGCTGTATCCAGAGTGCTAGCTTCAGGGTAACTGTCATTGTGGTCACTGTTGTATTGCAGACATCTGTGAAGCAGCCATGTCCAGTGAGAGGTCAGTCCGACCTCACCAACAAGAGAACATTCTGCTACAACTGTGGAGGCAGTAAACATTATGGCTTTGTAAGTTGTGTCACAACCTCATACAGGTAGGAAGAACTAGGATCTCATTTTGATGAGATTGTAATAAACCAGTCCATCAGTTGGTGCCAGGTTCACAGTGGATAAACACAGTGGATTCCCAGTGGAGTCTTCTCAGGCTGTTCATTATTACAGACTGACACATACTTATTGGCACATGCAATCATGGTTAATAATTATTTTCATTATCCGTTCTGATTTTTCTAAGCACATACCTCTGAACTCCCCCCTTTTTCTTTAGGTTGAAAGTGTGAGAACATATTAAATCACTTTCTATGTGAACCAGGATTTTACAAGGACATCAGACTATCAGGCCTGTCTCAGCAAGTAGTTATTTGTGTACATAGTACTAAAATATTGATCACTCAGTAAAACCACACAGTTCATTTCATCATGTCAGTTTTGCAGTTCACGATTATAATTTAAAAGATAAACTTATCCTATCTCACGATTTGCACTTCTCTCTCTTGCTTCGACGCTGAGTGGAACGAATGAGAACTTTTCCTGTAGGCCTCTCTTGTCCATACGCCCGTGTTCCCCAGGCTGCTCTCTTTATAGGACAGGTCCCTAGTCCCTGGCTAAGCGTGCAGCACGTTTCCCCTGTCTACCCACGTGACTACCTCAGAGTGATCATTCTTCTTCTTGTCGCACCACTGTGTGGACTTATTGTGAGAGTTCTCAGTTTTCCTTAAAGTTAACATGAGAAATATATCATGGGTAGTTAACCCAAAGTAGCGTAATTTTGCGCACACTGTAACAATATTTTCTTCCTCGGATCCCCACTCGTGATGTGTGGGTTGTATTGACCTGTGTTCCTGAAGCAAGCGTTGTCGGGAATGTGCTGCCTTATCAAGGACGTTTTTAGAGCATATAGACATGCTTGCTTCCGTTGGCTGGCAGACAGAGCTCGTTACACTTCAACAGTTGATCACCCGACAAAACCCCCGCTTTCAACGACCAGTATTAACTGCTCGTCATTTGGAGATTCCCATGTCGGAAGGTGATGATTTTATTGGCGCATCATCAGATGTCTACTCGTCGTTCCGCCTCATCGAATCGCTCTGTGTTGCCAGCTGACTCACACAGCCGATCTACATCGTCAAATCGCCGAACCGATTCACCACACTGAATCGGATTCGCCACACCGAATGGATTCACCAGGCTGAACCGTTTCGCCAAGGCGTATTGGATCACGACATCGACTCAATTCGCCATATATAAGACTGTTTCTTATCACCGCACCACATCATCGGTTCGATTCATCGCGCATCAAACGGTTCGCCTTCGCCATAACGGCTTTCTTCACCAAACGATTCACCTCGGCCGAACCATTTCACCTCACCGGAACATTTCACCTCACCGGTTCATCTGATTGTTCTAGATCTCTCCATCAGCTGAGATCATTTAAACGTTTCGGACTACCAAACCGATCCAGATCACAGTCACGATCCAGATCATAACGCCAATCCAGATCACATCAACGTTTCGGCTCACCATTCTGAATCAGATCACTAAGCTGAACCGATTTTCTAGCCCGACTCGTCCCGTTTCACCAGGCCGAACTGCTTCATCAGGCCGAACTGCTTCACCTGGCCGTTCAAGATCACTGAATCATCAACATTCCTCGAACTGTCAGCATTCGTCAATAATCCATTCCTCGGACCTTGCCTACCAATTGAGCTGATTCACCGAATTTGGCGATTCACCACTCGTGTTATTTCCAACACAGCCCATCTTACCAGCCTATTGGTTCGTCAGAGCCTATGCAAATTGTGTCTGGGATGCCTCCCAAGACACTTAACCCACATCGAACTTCGTCTTTGTTTTCATGGTTCGGGCTATGCCAGTCGCCTTTAAGATGCAGGAATTGTTTTGGTTGATTCGACACACATGGTCGCTTGGTTTGCCGACCACCTACAGCTACCTAGAGGAAAATACCAGATGTTCTATTTATTACATTCAACATGAAGGATCGGGACTTGTCAACACTGGTTTTTACATCCTCAACGAGGATCGTGAACTTGCATCTAGATACGGCCAAATTTGTCGAACTCTGCTAGTTTTCAACACGATCCTAGTTTTCAGGGCATCTGTGAGGCGCTGAATTCCTCACCACTGAGTGGCAAGCTCTAAGCACGACAAACTGATTTGTTTATCCGGTTTACCTTACGGCTTGTGAGGCGTTTAAAGTTTTTAGTCACATAACTTATCCCACCTGGTACCCTTTTTCTGCTGGTTGAACAGAGGTAGTAGCTATGTGCTTCACCATGCCGAATCGATTCACATTTGATGTCAGTAGCGCAGTCATCTAGACATATTACGCTCGGCACTTGACGGTCTGACGGTCCCAGTTCTCAAGATTCCTCCGTGACCAGGACTCATCTCATTCCAGATTTAATCTACCATCCGATCTTCACCTTTGATGAATGATTCGGTTCAAAGAATCTATCCTTCGGCGTAGATATCAGCACTACGACCACCCGATAGGGCATTACTAGATAAGCTTGCTAGCCAGGAATACTTTACGATGCTTCACTGAGTCTTGTTACTACAGACTACTCGTAACAGCGTGTTTGTGTATCGCTGGGTGCAATCATTGCAGATGGTTTGTCATCTTCAGCACCCTGCGTTTTACATCATCAGCAAGTTTCTGGACAGATGACAGATGGGTCAAGTTTTTGTGCATGGTACCAGCAGCGATGTCTTGTCAAGTAGTCAGCATAGCTCAGCCCGGAATTTATGGGTTGTGACTCGCCCGGTTAACCGAAGACTGTGTTGTCCGGATTTTTGTCGCATCGTGGGTAACGTTTGCAAATGGCGGACTACTGTTTGTTTACCAGAATTTTGATGATTAGAGTGACTATGAAGTGCCCTGGCAGACTTGTCTTGGTCCCACGAGTCGGATATCAAGTCCAGCCTTCAAAGGCTAGTAACAATGAACGGTGCCATTCCCAGTAAGAATGATTGTGTCGGGATTCCGTCAGCCAGTCGAGAGAGACTGCTTATCGAGAGTACAGACAGAAACACCCATGAACGGTTTGACCTTGGCTGGGTTTACGAGGTTTTCTACACTAGCTCAAGGTCACTGCAGTTTTGTCTGGACTGTCACCAGGCAGCGATCTACTACCTTTATCACTCCACCTGGCGAACCATCATTTTGTTCGGCCAAACAAAACATTCCTGAGGTCAACGATCGCTCGAATTACTTCACTTTGTTTACAATGTAAACATTCCTGTAGATTGACTGACAATCTCCATGCGCCAAACCTACTACATTCAGCACTCCATTAGTAGCGGCATGGTAGCTGGAATAATTAAACGTTCCTATCTCAGGAGATATCTCTTTGTCAGTGGCAAGAGTTGTTAGACCTCTCATTTCCCTCAACCTGCGAGACGCCTGCCTTCACATCCTGATGCATCCAGACTATCGGAAGTATCTTCGATTTACTTTCAAGGGGCATCATTGATACCAATGGAGGATCCTGCTGTTTGGAATATCTATGGCCTCGTGGCTTTTTTCTCAGGTACCAAATCCGATAACAAGCTACCTCCATTGTCGAGGCGTGACATTCGAGAACTATAGAACGCAATTAGGATGGCTGCTGAATTGGGAGTAATCGGAGGTAACACCGACCCGGTGATTACTTTTTATTGGGACAATATTCAACACGACAGGTCATGATGTTTGTGCCCCAGGAGAGGTGGGACAAGATTAAGTGCAACGTACCACTAGTGCTGGTCCAACCCACAACTTTTCACTAGTGGCAGAAGTTCCTAGGGTGGTTGACATCGGCACAAGCGCTGACTTACAGGGGCCAGCTGCAGCTTGCCCTCTTCAGATGTTTCTGTGCCCATACATCCGGGACGACAACCCCAGGGAGTTGATTCATCTTCCCGCACAACTACATTCAGTCTTTCGTTTGGTGGCTCAACAAGTGGAATGTTCGCGTTAGAGTCTCTCTGGTGCCCTTCATACCGACTCAACACCTGTTCGTCGACACGTCTCTCAAGCTGGGGCGCTCACTTTCTCCATCAAGTGGCCTAGCAGTGGTCATCAGGAGAAAGGGCCCTTCATATCAACGAATTGGAATTCAGCACTGTCATTCTCGCCGTTCGGCATTGGGCAGTTGAACTACGGTCCTCTCATATACTGATTCAATCAGACATTTCGATGGTAGTTTGATACATAAACCATCAGGGGTCGACAGGATCAGCAGCTCTGCTTCAGTTGATGTTTCGAATTTATCATCTGATCGATTCACTCAACACAGTGGCCAGAGCCCGACACATTCCCGGGATGAGGAATGTCATTGCCGATGCCCTGTCACGTCCCAAACACCCGTCACTCATGGAGTGGAAACAACTGCCTCTGATATTCCAATCGAAGATCTACCTGTTATCACGACCAGATGTAGACCTGTTCGCCACTCGGTACAACCATCAGCTTCAGCGCAGATGATCACCAGTTGCGATCATTGCTGCTTTGTGTACAATCTGAATAAAATTCTGAATTTTATTTCTGATTTGTGTCTTCGATTCTTCCGGGACTTCGATTTCTCCTCTCAATTTAATTTGAGACTCTGGAGAGTCGCCACCTCACTTACTGTCGTCTGCTCTATGGAGTAATTACATCAGTGAAGTGAGTCATTCCCGAAGTGTTACACTTCGTAGCGTTCATGCTCCTAAGTACCTATACACATCTATGTGATCTTACTGTGGTAAGTAGTGGAAGTCATAAGATGATGTTGTGGTACTGAATGTTAAAATTGTGAGTTTTCCGATTCAATTACCCTTTCACCCTCCTCGGGACGGTGTCTGTGGGGGTTGTTTCGAAGCAGGGGCTGGCCCGATACTAGTCATTAGACTTTTATTACGGGGGTACCTTGGAAATCGTGGTAATGCGACTGATAACGCTTGCTAAGCTGCCTCCTTTCACTTTCGTGAAGGTAGTGACTGAACACACATTGCTCGGGAGTCCCGTTTCCCTGGGAGCAATTGTGCTTAGTAGGTCAATGGGTTTTGAACTAACCATCGCAAGTAGTGACCTTGGTAGTTATGGGCCTACCTTGTCGTTGCTTCCTACGGATGTAGAAGTGTTCGACAATCTCGCTTGCTGACCTCCACTCCACGGAGCAATCACGCCAGTGTAGTGAGTCCTTCCCGATTTCCTTATGGATTTCGTAGCGTTCTAGCTCCTAAATACCTTAGCACACCGTTGTGACCTAACTGTGGTAAGTAGTGGAAGTCATGTGGTGTTGTTTTGGCACTGAACGTTAAACTTGTGAGTTTTCCGATTCAGTTTCCTTTTCCCCTCTTCGTGATGGGGTCTGGGGGGCTGTCTCGAAGCAGGTGCGGGCCAGATTACATTGCTCAGGAGCACCCACTCCATGGGAGCGATGGTGCCTAGTAAGCCAAGGGGTTCAGGAGAACCCATCACTAGTATAGGTACTATGCTAGTCAGATCCGGCCTCCCTTGTTCATTGCTATCTACGGTTGTCTTTAGCCTATACAGTACATACTGTCAGTGCCTTTTGACTTAGGGTAATCTGTGTCCCGCCGTCCGACCGTGGGATAAGTGCATACCGTGAGATAGGATAAGTTTAAAAATTTGAAAATTTCAATATAAATTGTATATTTATATACTTATCCTATCTCACGCGACAGATTCCCGCCCATCCTCCCCGCTATGCAGATTCTCCAAGAGGGATATTATCCAGTGGCTCCAAGAATGAGAATGATGATTCGGAGATAGTCACGTGGGCAGCTAGTGGTGCATGCCGCATGCTTTGCATGACAACTAGGAAGCTGTCTTATAATTAGGGTAGCATGGAGTGCTTGGGCGGATGGACAAGAGAGGCCTAGGGAAAAAAGTTTACATCGTTCCACTCAGTGTCGAATAAAGAGAGAGAAGTGCATACTGTGAGATAGGATAAGTATATAAATATACAATTTATATTAAAATTTTCAAGTTGTACGACTGTAGTTTTGCTGAGAGAGAGTGAGAGCGATGTTGAAGAACCAACAAACAAAGTTTATGTGACATCATGTATTCATTCCAGCAGACCGAGATGGTGCCAATTTCCCACCTGCAGCAGCAAACCTAACAAAACTGGAAAATAAACAACAAAAGAAAAAAATTAAATCCATGAATTCCTCTGAATATCACGCTGTGAAACTGAAGACGATAAAGTCAGCCAATATAAACAATGCGCATACATTCATATCAAGGAAAGTGTCTGCCCATGTGCCTGCGGAATGGAGAACAGCCAAGTCAGCAAAGAAAAACAAGAACAGTGTGAAAAAGAGGAAATCTGAAGGCAGCTACACAAGTTTCTCTGATACAGGTAAACCTGTTAAGATGGGCAGGAAGAAGAAAAGGAGGACTGACAAGTGGAGAAATAAACAAAGTAAGTCCTACCCTGTCGGATTAGACATTACATTCAGACACAAGCTTGCATGAAACAATTTGTTAATATGTTTCTTAAGCGTTATGTTCCATTCACAAAGTATAGATGATGATGCTCCCTTAGTACTGTCCCAGTCTTAGGAGAAGTGCGTATTTATGTTCGGTGAGTACCGGTATATTTGGAGATAGATATTAGAAATTTAAAAAAATTCAAAAGTCAACATTCCAGTGTTTGAAAACATGGGGCTATTCTCAACCACTGGACTCGTCACACCAAATACCCGGGTTTTATTCTCCACATGGGTACAATGTGTGAAGCCCATTTCTGGTGTTCCCCGCCATGATATTGTTGGAATATTGCTAAAAGTGGCGTAAAACTAAACTAAACTCAACTCACTCACTCACTAATGTTTGGTATTGCTACAACATTAAACAACATACAAACGATACAGAACACTCTGTTAAATTGTAATTCTGAGATCAAAATACATGTAAGAACAAGTAAGCTACAAGTTTGATATACTGCCAACTTGCACAATAACTATGACAAGTTTTGTGAGTGAGACATGTTAAGGTGTATACACTGTTGGGATGAGTGGCACTGGCTTCTAAGGAACTTGTAAATCACTGTGCAGAGTTGCATCCCTTGGGGAAGCCTATGCTTGTGGGATGGAGGTTCTCCACAATTGTTCTAAGTTTGTCAGCACCATGGCATTCATTGGTGGATCCAGAGGGGGGGTTCAGGGGGTTCGAACCCCTGAACCCACCCACCCCACCCCTTTCAAAATTTTCCTGGATGCTCTCATGGCATTGCTTGTGCATTTCACCAAAGTTGTAGACATCTGACAACAGCCTCGCATTACTCTTCCATGGCACATCACGCTGACACACCATGGTATAGTGTGAGTGAATTGAGTTGTACACTGGTTTTAGGAATATTCCAGCAATATCGAGGCGGGGAACACCACATTGTACCCATGTGGCAAATCGAACCCGGGTCTTCGGCTTGACGAGTGAACGCTTTTTCCACTAGGCTACCACACCGCCCCACCATGGTATAAGTGGAATACTGTTCAAACCAACTCACTCTCTCACTCACCAGTACACTGCAAAGTATTCCAAAATACCATGGTTACAAATGTTTTTCAGTTTCCAAACGTAATTCTCAAATCCCCGGGGTGTCAATATAGATGTTTTAGTGTATTGTATCTCAGTAATAGTGGCATACTCTGGATCCACCATGTAGCACAGAAGCCTAATTACAGAGTGAGTGAGTTTAGTTTTAAGCCGCTTTTAGCAATATTACAGCAATATCATTGCAGAGGACACAAGAAATGGACTTCACACATTGTACCCATGTGGGGAATTGAACCCTAATTTCAGAAGTAATGTAAACTTTCCCATTGGTCTGGCTCTAGTTGTGGGGTGGTTCCAGGGTATTTGTCATCACAGAATGGATCTTCATAATCAAGAATGTATGGTTGTTTATTTGTTCTTAATCTTTCCCAACAGCGCCAGAGTTGTCCAGCAAGATGTCCTCAAACAGATGTGGGTTCAGACTGTCCAAAGCGGTGAGAGCAAAGATGGTGAAAGGAAACAGATGAAAATCTAACTGATTGATTGTCCATGTCTATCAACTTTGTCTGACGAGTCAGTTGCCATGATTATGTGCATAATGTAATTGTACAGTGTGAAGGTGCATCATTGTTTGTTGTGTATGTCATCAGTGAGCTTCAGTTTTCGTTACTGTTTAAACTCAAGAGCACTTCATACAGCATTCTGCAGTGTTAAGTAGTAATGCCTCCTCCAGGATTCAGAGACACACTTGTCCAAAGTACTCCATGCAAGTCTTGCAGGTGCGTAGCAAGCCAATTTTTTCATAGAAGCCCAATAGGTTGCAAAGCTTTATATTTAGATAGTACCTTTATTTGAGGTATTTTTGGAAAGAATTAGAAAAAACATTCTTTTAGCAAAAATCATTTGTAAGCCTGGGCTTTTTTTTTTAACGGTAGCTACGCCCCTGTCTTGAGTGCTGAGTGAACATGCCAAGGGTGGTCAGGCACTATGGCTCATTTTATGTCATCACATTTCACGGACATGTGTCATTGCTTATAGTCTGTTTGGGTCAAAATGATACCGATGAATCACAACTTAACTCCAAATCAGTTCATGATCAAACATTCATTTCAATGTAGAATGTAATGAAAACATCAGACCAACTCTGGAAAAAGGTTCATAACGTTTGTCTCCAAAATAAAAAGGTTACTTAACAAACTATAATAATTTTGTTTTAACATGTGAAGTTTTATGAGGGTAAAGTAACAGTAAACTATTGCAGGAACAGCATTTTATTTTGGAGACAAAATATGAAACTTATATATGAATCCAAGTCGGTCTGATGTTTTCATTACATTCTGCGTTGAAATGAATCTTTGATCATGAACCAATTTGGAGTTAGATTGTGATTCATCGGTATCATTTTGACCCAAACAGACTATAGCTTTCAGTCACAAGTTTGTTTGGTCTAGACTTGATAATGTACAAGCCACAATGATCAACCTAAAGTCATCATCAACCTAAAAACACCTGACAGTGCCGAGATCTCAGGTATATACAAAGAAGCACACCAGACCATTCCGACAATGTAGGTGATTTACCGGAAATAGAGAGTACAATGTACGGAGAAGACACCTGAATATATCTGCTATATACAGGGAAAGACACTTGTCGGTGTTCATGATATACAAGGAAACACACCTGACGAAATCCAGGATATAAACAGAAACATACCTGACAGTGTTGATGGTATACATGTACCAGGAAACACACTTGACAGTGTTCGGGATATACCAGGAAACACATTTGACAGTGTTCGGGATATACCAGGAAACAGTGTTCGGGATATACCAGGAAACACTCCTGACAGTGTTGATAATGTACCAGGAAACACACCTGACAGTGTTGATGATATACCAGGAAACACACCTGACAGTGTTCGGGATGTACCAGGAAACACACCTGACAGTGTTGATGATATACCAGGAAACACACCTGACAGTGTTTGGGATGTACCAGGAAACACACCTGACAGTGTTGATAATGTACCAGGAAACACACCTGACAGTGTTTGGCATATACAAGGGCACACAACTGACAGTGTTTGGGATATGCGAGGAAACACACCTTACAGTGTTCATGATATACAAGGAAACACAACTTATGGTCATGATGATATACCGAGAAACACACCTAACCATTCCGACCGTGTAGGTGGTTTACTTGACAGCATCTACTATATACAAGGAAACACATGACCATGTCAGGGATATACAAGGAAACACATGACCATGTCAGGGATATACAAGGAAACACACCTGACAGTCTTCGGCATGTACCAGGAAACGCACCTGACCATGTCAGGGATATACCAGGAAACACACCTGACAGTGTTCGGATGTACCAGGAAACACACCTGACAGTGTTTGGGATATACAAGGAAACACCTAACAGTGTTCGGCATGTACCAGGAACCACAGCTGACAGTGTTGATAATGTACCAGGAAACACACCTGACAGTGTTTGGGATACGCCAGGAAACACACCTGACAGTGTTCAGGATATACCAGGAAACACACCTGACAGTGTTGATAATGTACCAGGAAACACACCTGACAGTGACAGTGTTGATGATATACCAGGAAACACACCTGACAGTGTTTGGAATGTACCAGGAAACACACCTGACAGTGTTTGGGATACGCCAGGAAACACCTGACAATGTTTGGAATGTACCAGGAAACACACCTGACAGTGTTCGGGATGTACCTGGGAACACACCTGACAGTGTTTGTACCAGAATGTACCAGGAAACACACCTGACAATGTTCGGGATGTACCTGGGAACACACCTGACAGTGTTGATGATACACATGTACCAGGAAACCGCACACCCTGACAGTGTTTGGAATGTACCAGGAAACACACCTGACAGTGTTTGGATGTTCGGGATGTACCTGGGAACACACCTGACAGTGTTTGGAATGTACCAGGAAACACACCTGGACAGTGTTTGGAATGTACCAGGAAACATACCTTGTCAGTGTTCAGGATACACCAGGAAACACACCTGACAGTGTTCAGGTTATACCAGGAAACACACCTGACAGTGTTCGGGATGTACCAGGAAACACACCTGACAGTGTTGATGATATACCAGGAAACACACCTGACCCAGGAAACACACCTGACAGTGTTGATACATGTACCAGGAAACACACCTGACAGTGTTGATAATGTACCAGGAAACACACCTGACAGTGTTTGGGATATACCAGGAAACACACCTGACAGTGTTTGGCATATACAAGGGCACACAACTGACAGTGTTTGGGATATGCGAGGAAACACACCTTACAGTGTTCATGATATACAAGGAAACACAACTTATGGTCATGATGATATACCGAGAAACACACCTAACCATTCCGACCGTGTAGGTGGTTTACTTGACAGCATCTACTATATACAAGGAAACACATGACCATGTCAGGGATATACAAGGAAACACATGACCATGTCAGGGATATACAAGGAAACACACCTGACAGTCTTCGGCATGTACCAGGAAACGCACCTGACCATGTCAGGGATATACCAGGAAACACACCTGACAGTGTTCGGATGTACCAGGAAACACACCTGACAGTGTTTGGGATATACAAGGAAACACCTAACAGTGTTCGGCATGTACCAGGAACCACAGCTGACAGTGTTGATAATGTACCAGGAAACACACCTGACAGTGTTTGGGATATACCAGGAAACACACCTGACAGTGTTCAGGATATACCAGGAAACACACCTGACAGTGTTGGAATGTACCAGGAAACACACCTGACAGTGACAGTGTTGATGGGAAACACACCTGACAGTGTTTGGAAGTTGATGATATACCAGGAAACAAACACCTGACACAATGTTTGGAATGTACCAGGAAACACACCTGACAGTGTTACCAGGGATGTACCTGGGAACACACCTGACAGTGTTTGGAATGTACCAGGAAACACACCTGACAATGTTCGGGATGTACCTGGGAACACACCTGACAGTGTTGATGATACACATGTACCAGGAAACACGCCTGACAGTGTTTGGAATGTACCAGGAAACACACCTGACAATGTTCGGATGTACCTGGGAACACACCTGACAGTGTTTGGAATGTACCAGGAAACATACCTTGTCAGTGTTCAGGATACACCAGGAAACACACCTGACAGTGTTCAGGTTATACCAGGAAACACACCTGACAGTGTTCGGGATGTACCAGGAAACACACCTGACAGTGTTCGGGATGTACCAGGAAACACACCTGACAGTGTTCGGGATGTACCAGGAAACATACCTTGTCAGTGTTCCGGATACACCAGGAAACACACCTGACAGTGTTCAGGTTATACCAGGAAACACACCTGACAGTGTTCGGGATATACCAGGAAACACACCTGACAGTGTTCGGGATGTACCAGGAAACACACCTGACAGTGTTCAGGTTATACCAGGAAACACACCTGACAGTGTTTGGGATGTTCCAGGAAACACACCTGACAGTGTTTGGGATATACAAGGAAACAACACACCTGGCAGTGTTCGGGATATACAAGGAAACACCTGACCATGTCAGGCATACACATGTACCAGGAAACACACCTGACAGTGTTTGGCATATACAAGGAAACACACCTGGCAGTGTTTGGGATATGCAAGGAAACACACCTTACAGTGTTCAAGATATACAAGGAAACACAACTTATGGTCATGATGATATACCGAGAAACACACCTAACCATTCCGACCGTGTAGGTGGTTTACTTGACAGCATCTACTATATACAAGGAAACACACATGACCATGTCAGGGATATACAAGGAAACACATGACCATGTCAGGGATATACAAGGAAACACACACCTGACAGTCTTCGGCATGTACCAGGAAACGACCTGACCATGTCAGGGATATACCAGGAAACACACCTGACAGTGTTCGATAAAATGCATACCAGGAAACACACCTGACATGTTCCAGGAACCACAGCTGACAGTGTTGAGAATGTACCAGGAAACACACCTGACAGTGTTCGGGATATACCAGGAAACACACCTGACAGTGTTGATAATATACCAGGAAACACACCTGACAGTGTTGATAATGTACCAGGAAACACACCTGACAGTGACAGTGTTGATGATATACCAGGAAACACACCTGACAGTGTTTGGAATGTACCAGGAAACACACCTGACAGTGTTTGGGATGTACCAGGAAACACACCTGACAATGTTTGGAATGTACCAGGAAACACACCTGACAGTGTTCGGGATGTACCAGGAAACACACCTGACAGTGTTTGGGATGTACCAGGAAACACACCTGACAGTGTTCGGGATATACCAGGAAACACACCTGACAGTGTTCATGATATACCAGGAAACACACCTTACAGTGTTCATGATATACCAGGAAACACACCTAACCATGTCATGGGATGATACCAGGAAACACACCTGACAGTCATCTACGGCATGTACCAGGAAACACACCTGACAG